TGGAGATATATGAAATACGCGATTTGTAAAATTAATAAGATGATAAATTGAGACAGGAAATGAATAACTTACTATTAATTGTATGATAACTATCTTGGGTCCCTGCCACACGGCAGGGAAAACACTGGCCAAATTAGAGCCGCACCAAAATAGAGACACCGCGGCGGGATCCCACGGATCCCCTGAGCTGCGGCGCCGTTGCTCCCCGGCACGATCAGATGCCGGGGAGGAAGACAAGGTCGGGAGGGGGAGGCTGCCGAACTGCGCATGTGTGAGCATGCGCAGTTCGGCCAGGAGCCGGGGATGCGCCGGTGGAAGGACGCGTTGGCGATCCCACGGCCGGCCTTGATGCGGACTTCCTGGATGAACCATCTCGGTAGGTGGTTCATTTTTGCTGCGGGGTTTTCGGCGGAAGGGCCGGATCGGGAACGGGCACGCAATGCTTCCCAGATGTTGCGGTGGGATCGCGCCCGTTTGCTGCGGCCCCGATCCAGCCCTCTCCCGGCCCAAAACCTCTCATGTGACCGGGGCCTTGGATGTGTTAAAATATATGATTACTTTGTTATGTTTGTTTTGAAAATCAATAAAAAGATTATTTTTTTAAAAAAAAGATCTGACCCTGCTTAGCTTCCAAGATCTGATGGGATAGGGCTATACCATGCAGTCTTCCCTCCCCCCATGATACCCAGTGAAATATACTGGATTCGAAGTCGCAGATAGTGAAATCAACTCATAGTTTATTATCAAGCACGAACATAAGACAAACTAGCAGGGCCGGAGTCCTGCTTATATTCCCAAAACACACCACACCCAACACACACACACACACAACCCATGATAGGCTATTTACATTGTACCAACACCCATAGGTCCAGGGCTATTTTTGGGCAAGAACGCACAGGAACGGAGATCCGGCTGGCTTCAGAGTTGGCCACACCCACTACAGCCAAAACCTCTGCATGTGTGGCTACAGAGGGAAGGCCTGGAGAGCGACACCCCCCCAGTGAATCCAATTTAAATGCCTCCCCGTGCCTTCCCCAGCCTGTCCAAGGGGGGGCTTGCTCGGGATCCTCGCTGCCGTGGGGCACCCGGGCAAGCCAAGGGAAGGCATGGGTGTGTGGCCTAATATGCTAAAGTACTGCACTGTCAGGGGTGTGGCCTAATATGCTAGTGAGTTTCTGCAGTTGGGTGTGGCCTATTATGATAATGAGTTTCTGCTGGGCTTTTTCTACAAAAAAAGCCCTGCATAGGTCTACTCCCGGATCCGGGGTGGCCGATTGATCCGTTCCAGGATCCTACCCGGCTATTGTCTTTTAAGCGAAGCTTTGCTATTTCGCATGGCCGCGTGCAAATCCGATCGCATGTGCAGTCGGCGGTTGATACACAACACCCAGCATCTCAGGTTTGGTGTTCTAAAGGGGACCCTCCTCCCTCTTTTGCCGATGGAAAAGCCAGTAGGATCCAACCCAAAGTTTTTCACGTTTAGTAAAGAAATACACTGCTTAAGAAACTTTACATGAGAGTCCCATTGAACGTGCATGATCAAAGAGCGCTTTGGAAATGGTGGCCACTGGATTTCTATCTCAACTTAACAACAGCAGAGCAAAGCATGACTGTTCTTCAGTCCATCAGAGATTTCAACATAATGCTGAACATAGCGGGACTATAAACCTAGTTTTGCCTTCTACATCCTCCCAATTATGTCTTTGGATGTTCAGACTCACCCTGCCCTTTCAAAGAGTTTTGGAGGCCACAGAGGGAAACCATCTAAGGAATGCTTTGTGCCAGTTACCACCCCTGTCATGTCAGGCAATTTTATCATGGTCAACGTTGCCCGCTGTTTGATAATGCCACATTTGTTGAAATCTTCACTCCCTGAAACTACTGCCTGTTCTACACAACTTTCTAGTAGTCTCTGTCTGGGTGTGGACATAGGGTTGCCAGCTATGGGTTGGGAAACACCAATCAGGGCTCTTTTTGTAGCAGGAACTCCTTTGTATATAGGCGACACACCCCTAATGTAGCCAATCCTTCAAAAGCTTAGCTCTTGGAGGATTGGCTACATTAGGGGTGTGTCGCTTAATAAGAGCCCTGAAATACCTGAAGCTTTTGGAGGTGGAGCCGGAGGAGGGTGGGGCTCAGGGAGCGGAGGGAGTTCAATGGGGTATGATACCATGGAGTCTACCTTACAAAGCAGCCTTTTTTTCTCTAGGTGAACTGATCTCTGTTGCCTGGAGATCAGTTGTAGCAGGAGATCTCCAGCCACCAGCTGGAAATTACAAATTATGAGAGATAATGGGAGAAGCTGACCAGCCAATACAAACTATACAGACAACCATGATGTAATTACTAAGATATAATTTTATTGAAATTTTTATGTACTTACTATGACTGTCAAGATTAGAGTTTTTACAAGCAAGCTGAGCTGCCTGTTTTGAAAGCACTTCATAGAGTGGAGCTCACTGAATTATCAAATGGAGGATTTGCGTAATGTTTCTGTTGCGGAATTTGCCCTGAAGAAGAGCATAGAAACGGGTTTTGAGCCACCTCGTTGGCAGGAAGCTGTGGATGTGCTAGAACATAAGAGAAGCCAATGTTGGATCGGGCCAATGGCCCATCCAGTCCAACGCTCTGTCACGCAGTAGCCAAAAATACCAGATGTCATCAGGAGGTCCATCAGTGGGGCCAGGACACTAGAAGCCCTCACACTGTTGACCCCCCCAGCACCAAGAATACAGAGCATCACTTGCCTCAGTTCCTACCTATTTCTCGTGGCTAACATCCGATGGACCTCTGCACCATCCTTCCTTATTATATAAAAGCAATTTGGAGTGGCCACATTCCATGCGCTCCCTCAGCCATTGGCTTCCTTCCCTCCCTCTCATTTGTCTCGTCTGCACAAGGGGAAGCTGGTGGGAGGGAACCTCAGCCCAGGTTGGATCTGGGCACAGTAGAGAGTCAGATGACTGCCTGCTTCCCCCTCTCCCTCTGATGGCCTCAGCAACAGAAGCCGGAGGTAGCAGGACCTGAGTCCTCCTGGCCGAATGGAGGGGTGCTGCCTCTTCATCCCCTGATGAAAATTTGCGGCCTACTGCAGCAGCTCAGCCAGGCTGATTGTTACCCAGAGAAAACAGGCATCTGCTTTGTCAGAACAACAGAAGTTCTGTTAATCGATTCATAAGTACACTCTCTTAGTGACTGCTACTATAGGCCTTGTTTTTCTCTCCATGAAGGCAAAAACCTTGCCCTCTTCCTTTTGGCTGCCTCCGTACTCTCTGTAGTATCCTCAGAGGTGTGAGGGAGAAGGGGGTGGCCATACTTATACTGCTGCCAGCCGGATCACCCTTCAGTCCTGCTCTGTAGTAGCCAACACACAGGAGACTGTGGTAGCTTCAATAACAGGTCCCTTTACTGTGGTGTATTTGAAAAGGCTTACATGAATCGCCGCGTTAACTCTCCATGATAAGCTCGAGCCAGAGGAAAGCTCCTCCGAGCCAACTTGCTATTGGTCGCTCCACAACAGCGACCAATCAGAACTATACCAATTCCCTGCGAGGGAAGGACTTTCATTGGACGTTATCCGCACAACCTCATTGGTTGTTTATTGTAAATAGGCGTGGCTACATTAGCCCGGGAATGTTTAAAAGGAGCCTAGCTCCCAATGTTAAGTTGTTCTGGTTATGACTTCTTTCAAGCGCTTGTTTGTACCTACAATAAAGCTGATCACTTTTGTTGAAATCACTCTCCGGTTCTTTGTTAGCGGCGATCTAACATTTACTGCTTGCAGCTGGGAGAGAATACTTACTAATGGAGAACCCACCAGTACACTCTGAGACATTTTCCGCAGGGATGGTTCTCCCCGTGCCTTCACTTGTATTCTTCCGCTACTTTCCCTCATTTCCACAGATTTTTTTGCAGTCCCAGGCAAAAACGCGCAGTTTGTCTCCTGTTGCTCTGCAGCATTTGTCTTCGCTGTCTTCGTGAATCCCCATGCTGTGCCGCAAGAGGGGGCAAACTGCGTGTTTTTGCCTGGGACTGCAAAAACATCTGCGGAAATCAGGGAAACCTGCAGATGGAGCAGGCAGAAGGGAACTTGATACTGTCAGGTTCCACAGCAAGTAACTCTTCACACACGTTTCCTGAGAAGCGTTATGCTTTATTAGAGTACAAAACCGGTACCATATCCACAGAATTATTGTTAGGAATAATTATAGGGTGGGAACATCCGTGCATATAGCCAGACGAGGCGAATAGCTAAGCAAATGAACTTCGAGCGCGCGGGGGGATTTCTCCCGGCGGGAAGTTACATAATGAGCGGGGGACTCGCAGGGCCCCTGAGAGCAGAAAGATTCACACCAGTGGTGGACTGCAAGCCCTCCCATCCTTACAAGGCCAGACTGATAACGCCGTCTAGCCGAGCCAGCTCCCACGGTCTCCGAGGCAATGTTTACGCAAAGCTGCTGAGCTGCGAGCAAGCGGGAACGGAAGGACAGAAGCAACATAAAATGGCAGCTAGCTGACAGATACTGCGGAAAAGGGCTGAGACAACCTCAGCACCAAAACACAAGACCCATGTGAAGCCTCTCCTATACAGGCCTTGTGGAGAAAACAGAAAGCAGTTCTTTGGGGCTCCTTTAAAGCCACACACACTGATGATGATATGATGATGATACATTCAATACACAGAGCCTTTATTTAGTCTTAAGATCTCCTTGCTTGAAAGGGAAATGCCAGCATTTCATCTTCACCATAAATTCTATCAGGGTAAAAGCTTGGCTTGTAACTTATTGAGTTGCCAACTCTGGGATAAGAAATTCCAGGATGTTTGGGGGTTCAAGCCTAGGGAGGGCAGGATTTGGGGAGGAGAGCTGGCAACCCTGCTTAACCTAGACCACAAGCTCTTCCTGCATCCCACTTTCTTCTGTGCTCTCAAGTCTTTCTTTGTTTTTCAGCAAAAGGCAGCAGATGGCGTTGGGAATCATGCAGGGCCAGCCGCACCCCAGGAACAGAAGGGTTTTGATATGATCTATTTGCTTGAAGATGTGCCGCCGTGGTATCTCTGTATCCTACTGGGATTTCAGGTAACAAACCGATCGAGCGCCATCTGCATCTAGGCTTTTGGGATTAGGCCAAAGCGGCGCAGCCATTCCTTGTGAACGTCTCTGTGCGATCAGCCGAACTAATCTTCGTTGTTTCTTGTTTCTGTAACGACCGTGACAAAAGGCACCCTTTGTAAGTGTTCGGGTTTCATTGCCTGGCATTTCTCCTAACAGCCCTATTGTTAAAGAAGGCTAGGGAGTGCCTTTACTGGAAGACGGCAGGTATACCCCTAGGAGACATTGTACTGCTTACAATGATAAAATAATCTGGTTTGTTGATTGATGATAACTGGCAGTGCAATCTTATGCAGTGTTACTCCATTCTGGGTTTAGAATGGATTAACTGCACAGGACTGCCCTGTAACCGTACTTGCCTTGCTCATTGTATTTGCTTTCCCCTGTGAGGATGGCCAGGTGCCCCCTGGCTACTGGCAGGGGGTGGGGGGGGTAGGGTTGCCAGCTTCACGTTGGGAAATTCCTGGAGATTTTAGGGTGGCACCTGGGGAGGACAGGGGCCTCAGTAGGGTACAGTGCCATAGAGTCCACCCTCCAAAGCATCCGTTTTCTCCTGGGGAACTGATCTCTGTAGTCTGGAGATGAGCTGTAATTCTGGGGGATCCCCAGATCCCACCTGGAGGCTGGCACCCTTACCCCCTGGGCTTTAATTTGTTTAAAAAATATTTTCAAATGCATTTAAAAAACAACAACTCTGGTATACTGAAATGTACACAATGCTATTCTCTTGGTTCCTGCCTTATTTGTATTTATTGTTGTTTTTCGAATGACAGATTATTTCAGTCTAATTGTGTAAATTATGTAGTTACAGGTATACCCCCAGGAGAGCACTTTGCTCTGGGAAGAAAAATCTTCTGGTGATCTCTGTCTTGAAAGATATCTGGCTGTCCTCAACCAGTTTTTTCCGGTTTTTCTGGGTTTTTTCTGGATGTCCTTTTTGGCCTTGGCACCAGCCTGGTGGAACTCCCTGCCACATGGCATTCGAGCCCTGCGGGACCTAGTGCTGTGGTTGTCAAGTCACCTTCTCTTTGCAGCGGGGGAGACTTCGTCCCGTTCTGGGACACTCGCTCATTCGCATAGTGCGCGCCGTGATGATAACACCCGGAAGTGCCGTAATCATGCTGGACACATCGCCAGGCGACACTCTAGCAATCGCTCTAAAAACTCAATGGTACCATAGAGTTTTCAGGGTGATTGCTAGAGCGTTGCCCGGTGACGTGCCCAGTGTGATTACATCACTTCTGGGCGATGTCATGGCGCCGGGCACGTCAGCCTGATCGGGCCACTTCGGGGGTGGGGTTTCCCCCACCGGCCGGATCCAGACCAGCGGATTGGGGGCCCTTTCAGCAGGGGAATCCCTGCCCTCCAGGGGGACTTGGCAACCCTACCTAGTGCAGTTCCGCAAGGCCTGTAAGGCAGAGATGTTCCACCAGGGCTATGGTTGAGGACAGCAACAGTTCCCACCAAGCCTGGCCTCTTCCTTCTTTCCTCCCCCCCATGCACAACCAATTTAAAACGCCATCTGAAATAGGATAATAATTAGTGTGTTTTTTATTTGTCAAACTGACTGTATAGCTTTTATTGGAATGCTTTGAGATGTCGCTCACCGCCCTGAGCCCTGTACACAGGGGAGGGCAGTCTATAAATAAGATAAAATAATAAATAAATAATAAACTTCCCTTGTGTGTGAAAAGATGGAAAGGCATAACTATGGCCCCGTTCATATGAGGGGTTTTGGTCCGGGAGCGAGACAGAACAGGGGCGGATCAAACGGGCGCGATCCCACAGCAACATCTGGGAATCGTTGCCTGTCCGTCCCCGATCTGTCTCTTCCGCGCGAAAACCCGCACTAAAAAGAACCACCTACCTGGGTGGTTCTTGCGAAGTAGAGCGGCTCAAACCGGCCGTGGGATCGGCCGCGCGTCCTTGCGGCGGCACATCCCGGCCTCCGGCCGAACTGCGCATGCTTGAGCATGCGCAGTTCGGCGGCCTCCCCCTTGCCTCCGACTCTTCCTCCCCAGCATGTGATCGTGCCGGGGAGCAACGGCGCGCGGTGCACGGGATCCGTGGGATCTTGCTCGCGCGTATCTTTTTTGATGCGGCTCTCTTTAGCCGCGCTTCGCCTTGTGTTTTCCCTGCCGCGTGGCAGGGGCCTATGTTGTTGTAATAAATAAATAATCCCAATAGCATCCCGTAGTCCCAAATGCAGTGTTACGAACTTTTCCTGCCCGAGACTTCATACTGGATGCAGGTATTGGGGTCCTAACTATTAGTGCCCACTGTGAAACATTTAAATTCTGTTGGCATAGAGCCTGGCCACCACCAGATCAGTTGCTTTATGCCAAACCCATGGTGGGAGATCCATTCGCATCACAGAGTCGGTATATCTACCCAGCGGCAGGTTTGATGCTTGTATGGGTGTCCTCCCAAACCTCAGCTGGGGGGGTGGGGTGGATTTTGCTTTATTTATAGCCTGCCTTTCTCATTGAGGTCACAGAATACAAAACAGTGCAGACAGACAGCATAAAACGACGAATGAGCCATGCACTAGAATTAAGATTGCAGAATTAGAGAACAAATGTGAACAACAAACTATCTAAATCAAGATATACTGTAAACAATACAGAAAGTGGATTACAAAGTGTAAAAAAATGCAGTAAATGCAGGTGATACCTGCAGTAATCATTCCAGTGGACTACCGTCCCTTTCCATTATAAAGGTGCACTCCTGGGTTGCTCCATTCTACTACAATTCGAGTCTCTTTTTTGAAAAATGAACATTAATGTTTTGCACATTCTGCAGAATGATAGAAATGTGTGTACAAACGTCCTGTCTAGCGTGAGCTGCAGCTGAGGCAAACGCTTTCCAGGTGTGAGTCACAAACACAGACACTGAAGAGAGCTTAAATTGTCTTTATTTAACTTCACATGCATTCAGTAGATCATTTACTCACAATTGAGCTGATAGCTGGATAGAGCGTTACATCTAGGGTTGCCAAATAGCACTCACCTCCTTGGCGGGGGACTCCTGGGCAGTTCCTGGTGCGCACGTGCGCCAAGCGCGCGCCGCGTCTACATCACCCAGATGTGACGTCATGACACCGGGCACACTGGGGCGAGGCCACAGCCATTTGAGGGGAAAACATAGAGTTTTCCCCTCAAATGGCTGTGGCCTCGCCCCCAGCGTGCGACGTCACATCCGGGTGACGTGCACGTGGGGCTGGGGTTTCCCCTGGGGCCCGATTCCGCGGGGGCGGAAATCGGGCCTCCAAAGCGGGGGGAAATCTGCCCCCCGGGGGGATTTGGCAGCCCTAGTTACATCTTTCTGATCTAGGTCAATACTATGGCCGTGGTGAGAAAAGAGATGGGCTTCCCCTCTCCTTGCAGTAAGGGTTGATGGACAAAGAAATGGAAAAGAACAATAAAACTCCTATCTTCACACCTCTGAGCTCAGGAAATTACTCTTAATGAGCCAGTCAGAGGGAAGCTTCTGGGACCCCTAACTGAGACTACAATTCCCAGGTGCAACTGCTCTTAAAGATACACAGCAGTTTTACTAAACTACAGTTAACGCTGACTGGGGGCAGCACAATATGCATGCTTATTTTTAAGGATGCTGAGAGGGGGATGGGATTGTAAGGCGGGCACATAGATCAGATTCAAGGTTCTGGTATTAACCTTTAAGGCCCTAAATGGTCTGGGACCAACGTATCTATGGGACCACCTCTCCTGGTATACCCCTAGAAGAGCACTACGCTCTAGGGAGAAGAACCTTCTGTTGATCCCTGGCCTGAAAGACATCCGGCTGTCCTCAACCAAATAGGCCCTGGCACCAGCCTGGTGGAACTCTCTGCCAAATGACATCCGTGCCCTGTGCCTGCAGGATCTAGTGCAGTTCCACAGGGCCTGTAAGGCAGAGATATTCCAGTTTAGGGAATGCATCTAAATAATGTGCTGTTTTGTCCCCAACCACCCAATTGTTCCTCCAGCATTATTTGACGTGTTTCAGCGGCACCATAGCAGTCCCCTTCCTCCTGGCAGAGTCTCTGTGTGTAGGAAAGGACCAGTATACCATCAGCCAGCTCATTGGCACCATCTTTAGCTGCGTGGGAATCACGACTCTAATCCAAACCACAGTAGGAATCAGGTAGGCTATCACCTCTGTGATCTTAAAGGGAGCAACGTATAGTAGCATGGTTGTCTTCAACCTTTCCAGACCCAGGGCCCACTTGTAAACCCCCCCCCCAGGTGGTAGTATGGGGACCCCATTGACTTCTGTGGACTTAAAAGGGTGTAACTCTGCTGGGAGTTACATTGCAAGAGTGGGGGGAAAGAAAAACAAGATGAGCACCAGGAGGTGTTACCATACTGCAGAAGAAGCCAATGAGCATAGTCATGGAGGAATGCTCTCTAGTGCTGAAGGACCTAGCTTTGCTGTGCTCCTGTTCCTCTTAGCACATGTTCAGCGGCGGGAGGCATAGAACCCATCATCCCTCCCTGTAGTAGCAGCAGGTCCTTCAAAAATAGCAGAGATGGGTGGGAAATGATTACTTTATAGCAGGTCATGGCCCAGTAGATGGGACTCTGTGATCCACCTGGATGTCCCAGCCCAGGGGTTGAAGATCGCTTTAGCAGTGAATGGTACTTAATAAAGCTCTTTCTCTTTTGGCCATCCAGACTTCCTCTGTTTCAAGCCAGTGCATTAGCATTCCTAGTGCCTGCCAAATCTATCCTGGCCCTTGAAAAATGGAAATGTCCTCCTGAAGGTAATTCAGATGTGTTTATCCTGCAGGAGGGTGGGTGATGCAACATCACCCTCTTCTCAGACCCTGCTGTCTGCTGTCACCTGCAGAGGTGAGGCAGGCTGCGACCAGCGACCGGTCTTTTCCCAGTGGTGGTGTCTCCTTGCTAGGGTTGCCAACCTCCAGGCGGTGGCTGGAGATCTCCTGGGATTACAACTGATCTCCAGGCAACAGAGACCCATTCCCCTGGAGAAAATGGTTGCTTTGGAAGGTGGGCACGGTGGCATTATATTCCATTGAAGTCCCTCTTCCCCCGAAGCCCCACCCTCTTCAGGCTGCACCCCACAAATCTCCAGATGTTTCCCAACATAAAGCTGGGAGCCCCACTCTTCACCTTTGGGATGCACTCCACTTTGAGGCTCACCCAATGTTTATTTTCCTTTCTTTTAGGCCCTCAAGGCCAAACATTTCTTTTTACCTGGGTTTTTAACTGAGGGGTTCCACCTTTTCAAATTATTTTTATGGAATTCTTCTAGCCTAAGGATCTTTTATGAATATAACTTTAGCTTGCCCGGTGTTGTTTTATGCTGTCTTTATGTCCCTTGGCTTTTTTTTTACTTGCTTTTTTATACTGTTGGTTTTGTTGTATGGGGGGGTGGAGCCTGAGGAGGGCGGGGTTTGGGGAGGGGAGGGACCTCAGCAGGATATAATGCCACAGAGTCCACCGTCCATCGCAGCCATTTTCTCCAGGTGAACTGACCCTTGTCACCTGGAGAGCCGTTGAAATCTCAGGAGATCTCCAGCCACCACCTGGAGGCTAACAAACACACAAAAATGGAACCAGAGTGAATGCAGTTATGCAACCAAGATAAACGGAACAATCTGTCGCGCTGTACAAATCGCGCTAGAGACGACTGTCTTCTTATACTGTTCTACTTACAACCAAAATTAACACACATAACAAATGGTTTTGCCAGCATGCCTAAATGACAACTGCACCAGTTGAATAGTGAACGAATAGTCCTTGAAAGTACAAGTCTCTCTTCAGATTGATGTGGTCACCGGCTCGTGGTGCAGAGAAGAGTTTTCAGAAGGAAGCTCGCAATAGACTAGGGGTGTCAAACATAAAGCCCGGGGGCCGGATGTGGCCCATCCAGGGCTCTTATGCGGTCCCCAAGCAACTAGTGTAAGGGAGGGGAAAGGAGACTGCTCAGGGAAGAGTGGGCAGAGCCACTGTGATTGTGGCTTCAGCAGTCTAGCATCTTGGGAGCATCTGCCCAGCACTGCACTGCTGCCTCTCCAGCCCTCCCATGTGGGTTTTCCTCTGCACCCCCCTCCCAGCCCATGGGGCCTTGCACTGAGGATACACCAACTCAGAGCTTACCAGCTGCTGTCCTTACAGTTTATATCTCTGGTACCTGACATTATATTTTATGGCACACATGGCCCAGCCCAACAAAGTGACCTTTCTATCAGATCCGGTCCTCGTAAGAAATGAGTTCGATGCCCCTGCAATAGATGGAATGAGCTCAGGACTAGCTGTAGTGAAAACCAAAGATTATTCTGTTTATTTGTTTGTATAACCACCTGGAGGCTGGCAACCCTATCTATTGTATATATTATTTGAATATGTTTATCATTTTCAATGAGTGGGCTCAAAGTGGTTATCTGAGCAGGGTTTTCTTTTTTACACATATATGTTACACCATTCTGTACTTTTGTACGTTTGTTTGAAAGGGTTTCCGCCCTCTTTTTTTTGTGTGTGGATATTGTGCATGTAACATAGGGCGATTTCGCACTAGAGCTGCCTCGCGGTTGCGCCGCTGTTTGCCCCGACACAAATATGTCAATTTCACACCCGAAGCGGTGGGGCTGCATTTTGATTCGCGGCTTCGCCCGATTTCCCCCGCAGTTTCGTGATCCTGGTTTTTGAGGATCACAAAACTGTGGAGGGATTCGGGCGAAGCTGCAGGTCAAATGCAGCCCCGCAGCCTCGGGTGTGAAATTGACGTATTTGTGTCGGGGCAAACGGCGGCGCAACAGCGAGGCAGCTCTAGTGCGAAATCGCCCATATAGTAGGCGGATCATCTTTAATGGTTCGCTGTGCATTGAGGAGAATTTTGTCACACATCTGCACCTGATTGAATGTTGAGCAGGGTCGGCAGCTCTGGGCTGGGAAATACCTGGAGATTTGGGGGCGGAGCCTTGGGGAGGGCGGGGTTTGGGGAGGGGAGGGACCTCTGCAGGGTACAGTGACATAGAGTCCCCCCTTCAAAGCAGCCATCTTCTCCAGGGGAACTGATCTGGGTCATCTGGAGATCAATTGTAATAGCGGGAGATCTCCAGGTGCCACCTAATATTCAGGGAAGCAGAATAAAGACAAAATTCTCTGCACCATTGGGTTACAGATGCCATACTTCCAGCACTGTTTCCCCGGAGGCCACCATTTGCAAATTGGATCCTTGCCCTTCTTGGCTTGTGAAAGCAAGTTACCAAGAAATAGAGGAATTGTTATCCAAATTTATCAACACTTCCTTGACCCCTCAGACTTCAGATTACTGAAGAATCCTCTCAGTTCCCCTATCAAGCAAGTTGCTTAATGCTGTTCCCCCCCCCCCATGGTTTCTGCTCCAGTGTATATTTACCTTTCTTGCTTCATTATGCAGAGGAGGTCTATGGAAACTGGACATTACCCCTCCAAACCTCTCACATCTGGCAACCAAGGATGAGAGAGGTAAGTTGAACCAGAACTCTAGCCTGCCAAGGGATGATCCAAGTCCAATGCAGCAATCTTTGTCAGGACGGGAGCTCATATACTCAAATGGCCAAGTCAGATGTGGTGTTTTCCCCCAGGGTTCCCTCAACCAACTTCTGGGAAGTAATTTCTTAAATGCCTCAGGATCCAGTTTGGATTGGGACCACAGAGTGAGGGAAGAAGGGACTTCAGACTTCCTCCTGAAATGGCCTAGGGGCTCATTATCCCCCCCCCCCCGCAAATAACATCACTTTCCAGAGCCATTGCAGGTTGGGAGAAACAATGCTTGTGTCTGTGAAGTGGAGGGTGAAGAAACTGTTGTCTGACTGAAGGGACTGGGAGTCAGGTTGGGAGAACCCAGGCCCAATCCAGGAAAAAAGTCACGGTTAGCTTGGCCCTTCGTATAATAGCTTTCTTTCACAGAAGTGCTTTGGAATTAATCCCATTGCGGTATATGCACGGAAAATCCAAATACATTTGATATGGGAAGTCTTTGGACAGTAGCTGGCAGGAATTCTGTTTACCTGACAGAGATCTTCCCTGTTGAAGTGCTCAGTCATGTTCCTTTCCCAAGTAAAATTTCTGTATGTCTTTTCCCTTGAAAACTCAGACCTTTCAAGGAAACGACTCAAGAAAGAAGTACTTCGTATTTTTTCTCTGCCATCCTAATGATGCTTTAAACATATAGGAAAATGTACTCTGAAATATTTCCAAACATTATAATTCAGCTGTATATATTTAGAGTGGTGGAGGAGACCCTGGCTGGACTGGGAACTGGCATGCATCCACAGACAGATGGTTGGCATTGCCAGCTTTGCTTGGGGTGTAAGATTCCCTTTGTTTCATACAGCCTGTTCCTTCATAGGAGGGCTTCGGAATCAGAGCAAGTTTCTCATTAAGGATGGGCACAAACCGTATTTTTGCGGTTCAGTTTGTGGTTTGTGGCTGAATCACAAACTGAACTATGAATTGATACATCGGTTTGCAAACTGAACTGGTTCATGACCCTGCTTTCTGCTCCCTGTCCCTTTTTGGGAGCAGAAAGCAGGGGTTTAAATGGCTTCAAACCATTTTACCCCCTGCTTTCTGCTCCCTCAAAAAGCGGTGGGAAGCATAAAGCAGAAGGTGAAATGGCTGTGAGCCACTTAAATCAAACAGCTGAGTGGCAAGAAGCACAAAGCAGGGGATTAAATAGCTCAGAGCCACTTAAACCTCGGCTTTCAGCTCCCCACCACTCAGCTGTTTTTCATGAAGAGCAGAAAGCAGGAGTTTCTGTTTTCTGCTTCAGGATGGGAGCTCATATACTCAAAGGGCCAAGTCAGATATGCTTTCAGAACGGGAGCTCATATTTCTGCTTTCAGGACATGACCTCATATACTCAAAAGGCCAATTCTAAACTGCTTTCTGCTCTTCATGAACCTCCACAAACAGCCATGAATTGCTTTAAAATTCGTGGAAGTCTGTGGCTGCTCTTTAGTTTGCGAACATCGCTTCATAAACAGCAAACTAGCCAAAATTTGTGACAAACTTTAGTTTGTGTGTCGGTTTGTGCTCATCCCTATTTCTCATGATCACTGTTGCAGGGCAGAAAAAAAAATCTAAACAGGATGCATTTTTTTTTTTGCTAAGGACATGTAAAGCCTGGGAGTGCCTAGGATAGTCCCTGGGATTAAAGACAACATCACTCACTTGTCCTCCTTGTTCTATGTAATTTCCTACCCTCTCTGCATCATACACAACCCTCCTACACACAGGCCCATCAACTCCAAAACCCCTGCGTTGGCAAGGAGGAAGAAAGCATAACAAGAATTGAAATCTCCTTTGTTAAATTGGTGGTGGAAAGGGCCGTCAAGTTGCAGCCAATTTATGGCAACCCCACAGAGTTTTCAAGGCAAGAAACATTCAGACGTTCAGAGCTGGTTTGCCATTGCTGCCTCTGCCTAGCAACCCCCCAGACTTCCTTGGCGGTGTCCCATTCAAGTACTAACACTTCTTCCAAGATCTTACAAGAATGGGTTCGCCTGGATAATCCAGGTGTGGGCAAATTAAGTACACCCAAGCAAATGTTACTGTTTTGCATACTGTTTTGCATAATACAGAAGATGGGATTCGAAAGCACTGGAAGCTGGTGCAACAGGTCTTCCCTGCTTCCCTCTTTTGCTGCAACCCCCTGAGTCCCGTGAAATTCTGCTCCGTGGGCATTCAAGGGACTTGTAAGGAATAGGTACCGGCAGGGCTCTTTTTGTAGCAGGGACTCCTTTGCATATTAGGCGACACACCCCTAATGTAGTAGCCAATCCTCCAAGAGCTTACAGTAGTCCCTGTAAGAAGAGCTCTGTAAACTCTTGGAGGATTGGCTACATTAGGGGTGTGTCGCCAAATATGCGAAGGAGTTCCTACTACAAAGAGAGCCCTGCGGGTTGTCAGCCTCTAGGTGGGGCCCAGAGATTTCCTGGAATTACAGATGATCTCCAGACTACACAGAGCCGTTCCTCCTGGAGAAAATGGCTGCTTTGGAGGGTGGACCCTATGGCATTGTACCCCACTGAGGTCCTTCCCCTCCCCAAACCCCACCCTCCCCAGGCTCCACCCCCAAATCTCCAGGAAGTTCCTAACAGAATGGGAGGCAAAGAGGGGGTTAGTGGTGGGAGGGGCAATTGGTAGAAATCACGCTCCTTTCCTGCACCCATGGAAGTGCTGCTGCCCTTGATGACCCCGGAGGTCCCTTCCAACTATGATTCTATGATTCAATGTAACGGCCATTCCATCAGCGGAACAGCATCTTAGGAGCCAGCTCACAATCTAGTGTTTCTGGTGACAATTGTTTCCTCCTGTGAGATGTAGCTTGGTTAGATGTGTTTTAACGTCCCATTTTCTGTCCCTGTCAATTTCATTCCATCTGTCCCCCCCCCCCATTCTTCCATAGATCCAAGGAGCAATCATCGTTTCTAGCTTGGTGGAAGTGGTAATTGGACTGGTGGGCCTCCCTGGGGCGCTGCTCAGCTACATTGGTCCCCTCACAGTCACACCCACTGTCTCCTTAATAGGTCTCTCCGTGTTCCAAGCTGCGGGGGACAGAGCCGGATCACACTGGGGCATCGCAGCACTGTAGGTCACCTGTTTTTCTATACTGCTCCATTTCTGTATTCTAATTTCTGTACTGTAAAACTGATTTGGGGTGTGTGTGTGGAAACATCCCACCTTGTAGAACTGAAGTCGCTGAGGGACGAATTGCGGATATAGAAATTGGCCAGTTACCCAAATACACCCAATTAGGTTTCCAGCTCTGGACTGGGAAACAATTTTGGGGGGTGGAGCCTATGGAGGGCGGAGTTTGGGGAGGGGAGGGAGTTCAGCAGAAATGCAACGCCATAGTCCCTTTCTGGACTCTCCTTTTAATCCATGTTCGCCGTGGTGTCCTCCAAGCAATTCTGCACTGAAATTGAATTCGGCCTTCTTTTTACCGGGTGCCGCAAGACGGGGTGAGCTCCCGTCTCTAGTTCCAGCTCCTGCCAACCTAGCAGTTCGAAAGCAAGAAATTGCAAGTAGATAAATAGGTACCACTTCAGTGGGAAGGTAACAGCGTTCCGTGTGCCTTGGTGTTTAGTCATGCCGGCCACATGACCACGGAAACGTCTTCGGACAGCGCTGGCTCTTCGGCTTTGAAACGGAGATGAGCACCGCAACCCTAGAGTCGGATTCGACTGGCTTTCGAGCAAGGGAACCTTTACCTTTACCTTCCCCATTCTGCACTAAAATCGAGTTCAGTCTTCTTTTTACTCCGGGTTTTCCCCCCATTCTGCATTACATTACCTCCCTTCAGTGGTCAGCCCAGTTTCAGCCCGCTGTTGCCCCGAGTTATTTGGATGCAATTTTGCCATGGACTTAAATTGCTTCAACTCGAACACTGAGGAAATCCAGAGTGGCAGGCAAATGCGGAAAAGTTTCCATCATAGAGTCCACCTTCCCAAGCAGCCCTTTTCTCCGGGGAACTGATCTCTGTTTTCTGGAGATCAATTGTCAAATTGGGAGATCTCTTAGCCCCATGTGGAGTGAAAAGTACTGGGTTCGCTGCATGGAGGACTCAGACGACGACATACTGTAGCACACGTTTATTGTACTTAACACAGACAAAGACTAAAGGACTAACGGCCGACAGGGCCAACTATATACATATCCACCCAGAACCCCCCCATTCCCATTGGAGGGTTTGAATGTCCCGCCAAGGTGGCTATTGGTTGGGGCTGGGGGATCCGGGATCCGAGGTTTCCATTGTTCTAGGATCCAAGCTCTTGCCTGTGCCGCGGACCCCTGGTGGCGGTCCACGTACATAACATGGAGGTTGGCCACCGTAACCCTCATCGTCTCACTCTCCCGGCTGCCAGGCGAACTCAAACAAAGCAACAAGTACAGCTATAGATGGCTGGTTTTTCAGTTGCGAATATTTTGAAAGGAGAGCCCTTTTCAGTCGCCCAGTTTTGATATATCAACTAGATATATAACACGAGAGCATGTGCTAACTATTTCATGTGAACAGGACAATGCACCGATTTTTCCGTGAGCAAACTCTGAAAAATCTAGTGAAGCGTTTGTGCGTACCAAATTGTATGAGCATAGAAAAAAAGTTGTCCCAGATCACACCCCAATGTCCAAGATATGATGAACGCAGTAGATTTTTGCAGACCGTAATATCCTGCTTCCCCGGGAAGGTCAGATCAGGAGAAACTAGTCATATTCTCGGCAGAGAGGGACACATTCATTACTTTCCAAAGGGTGAGATTTGCTGCCACCATCCTAAAGGGTACAAAGATGATGGGATGCGCTGACCAAAGTATGTCTAACTGTTGACTGCTCCACTCTGGGTCACTTGTCATTTGTCTCTGGACTGCATACTCTTCCTTTCTTCTTATTAGACATATTTTTAATGACGACTTTGTATTTTAATACTTTCTATAAAAATTTCCAATTTTTATTATTTTATTATTTTGCAGATTTTGCCTTCTTGGACATTTGCATTTCACTTTGTATTGCTGCTATGGCTTTTCTTGCTAATGGGATAAAGATGGATTGATTGAAAATAGATACAGGGGGGGAAAGTAGATGTTAAATACCAATGAAACCAGTGAGGCTGAACCATTTAAGGGTCGTGTGGATGCAACTTACTTGGGATGTCACACATTAGATGCAGAATCAGGTCTAAACTACAAGTACATTGAGGACTTGTGATTGAAACCCCCATGTAGACTGAAAACAAAGCGAGGATGGGGAGACATGATATGAATTCAGGTTGTTAGGCTGAGGAAAGGGGGATCTTTTGTGATGTCTTTAGCCCTGGCAGTGAAAAAGACAGGCATTCAATCACACCTCCCCAGTGTCACATGCAGGGCTATTTTTGGGCAGGAACGCACAGGAATGGAGTTCCGGCTGGCTTCAGAGTTGGCCACGCCCACTACAGCTAAAACATCTGTGCTCGTGGCTACAGAGGGAAGGCCTGGAGAACAAACCCCCCCCCCCAGCGACTCCGAAGCACGCCGGCCGGGGGGGGCCCTGGAAGGATCGGGGAGGCATTTAAGGGCCAGCTTGCCAGGGATCCCGCAGCTGTGGGGCAACTGGGCAAGTCAACGGAAGACATGGGGGTGTGGCCTAATATGCGAATGAACTGTGCTGTTGGGGTGTGTGGCCTATTATGCTAATGAGTTTCTGCTGTTGGGTGTGGCCTATTATACTAATAAGTTCCTGCTGGGCTTTTTCTACAAAAAGAGCCCTGGGTCACATGTTGTTTGGTCCTCAGACACAAAGTTTATCATCAGTGATGGCCAGTATCCTGTTGTATGCAAATTGTAGTTGTTTAGGGGTGAGGAAAGAAAGAAAAGAACTAAGCACTCCACTGTGCAGATGGAAATTACTAAAATCATTTTAGAAAACTGGACCACTTCCCTTCCGAGTGCTGTTGAACTTTTCTGTGCAACCCAGTAAGAAAAGCCTGTTTATTGTTCTTTGTAGACTGAGGGTCTGTTCATGTGACTTAGCTGCTCGTGCTGATTTCTGTTTTTGTTTTTAATGTAGAAGTAAAAGTTGGCCTGAGAGCATTATGTTTACAGGAACTTAATGATGGTTAAATTGCATGAATTAGTCCTAATTACCATGTTGACTGTGTTCCCAGATTACTTGGGATTTCTGCCTTTCAGCACTCCTTTTCTCTTTGGAACAGGTCGATTTTTTTAATCGTTTTATTTGCCCAGTACCTGCGAAAAGTCACTTTTCTCCTCCCTGGTTACAAATGTGGGAAAGGATGCATCCTGTTCCGGATACAGATCTTCAAGATGTTCCCAGTAAGTGATATCCCGTTTGTTAATGGGGACAGCTTTTCATGGTACAGAAGCTGATTTCACATTGCTGTTGACAGTCTTGTTCTATTTCTTATATGTTGCATCTTGCCATAGCTGTAAGAAGCACAGCCTCTCCACTTTTAACTTAATACAAATTCAAAGAAAGCATTGAAACTGGGTGTAGCTTGGGAGCATGGAGCTGTGTTCTTTTGTCACTAGTTGCTATGGCATTCATAATAACCAATCAGGGCATGTGACTTTTTGCAACCAACTACAGTGGTGTGGTATAGGAGCTTTTCCACATTCTCCTTTTCCTCGCTTGTGTGTTCCTGTTGCTTCAGGGTTTTTTTTTCTCTTCCTCATGTGTTTTGCTCCCTCTAGTGGTCACTTCAATATTACATTGCTTTATGTCTGGTATAAAAACCTGCAGTTTAAATCTGCAGGGAGATATGCTGGATAGAAAGCAATGTGATATCGAAACAACCACTAGAGGGAGCAAAACACAAGTGGAACCAGAGGTCATTTCGGGGGGGATCACGGGGGATTGCAGTTCCCCCGGGTGAGGTACGGGGGTGGGGCACATGATGAAGCCCCGCCCCCTGCTTCCGGCCGCCCCACTTCCGGCCCTCATTCAGCCAGGAGGAGGCAGGAGAAGAGGGAGGGTAAGTTGCTTCCTCCCTGCCTCTCCCCACCCCTGCCTGCCTGGGGCCAGGGAGGGCCTTTGCGGGGCTTCCTTGCACTCCCGCTGGCCTTGCAGGCCCACCGCCGGGCCCCTCGTGGGGCTAGGCAGTGGAGCTGCAAGGCTGGCGGCGGCGGCCGGGACCGTTGGGGGCGGGGTGTGTGGCCTTATGACACACTTCTGGTGATGTCAGGGGGTGTGGCCTTATGACACACTTCCGATGATGTCAGGGGGTGTGGCATATGCTAATGAGTTATGTTAATGAGTTCCCCTAGCTCTTTTTCTACGAAACAACCCCTGAGTGCAACAGACCCTGCCCCCAAAGCAACAGGAATGCACAAGTGAGGGAAATGAGGAGGCGGGAAGGCCCTAGAATTTCTGCAGAAAGAATGTCGTTTTTCTCAGTGACAAATTACTGTAGTTTTGAATGTAAAGAAAATGCCTAACACAGGAGAACAGCTTCCCAGCTTTCTTTCAAAGAACTGAAGGGTCAGATACGTGGTTCTCCATTTCCTCATTTTATTTATTCATTTATTTGTTTGTTAGATTTATAGCCTGCCCTCCCCGCCAAGGCAAGCTCAGGGCAGCTTACATACAGAATTTAAGAACAGAATAAAATCATACAACAATTCTCAAGAGCTATACATAGATGCTGCAGGTCAGACGGCGAAACAAACACATTTCCAAGTATTATCCTTAACAGATGTCAGTCAGTAACAGCAATAGCCGATGGTAGAATTCCAGGGTAAGGCTCTGATTTTAAATTAAGATTTAAATTAAGATGTTCTATGTGGTTCAAGGTCACCCAACGAACTTCTATGGTACTATGATGATTTGAACCTCAGTTTCCTAGATCCCAGTCTAACCACTGCACTATGCTTCAAAAGAAGCTGGGTAGCAATGGTGCTGGAGAAGACTCTTGAGAGTCCCTTGGACTGCAAGAAGATCAAATCAGTCAATCCTAAAAGAAATCAACCCTGACTGTTCCCTGGAAGGCCAGATAATGAAACTGAAGCTCAAATACTTTGGCCACCAAACGAGAAGGGAGCACTCACTGGAGAAGACCCTGATGCTGGGAAAGATTGAAGGTCAAAGGAGGGGACGGCAAAGGATGAGATGGTTAGACAGTGTCATAGATGCAACAAACATGAAATTGAGCCAACTTCAGAGGACGGCGGAAGACCGGAAGGCCTGGCGGGAGCTGGTTCATGGGGTCGTGAAGAGTCGGACTCGACTGTGCGACTGAACAACAACAAAAAAGCTTGTGTGCTCTGAATGAGCAACAATTGTGAGTATTTATTGCACAAAAATGACTGGGGCGGAAGAGTCTCCTAAACTTGGAAGCTCTCTCCAGTTTGCGTAACATCTTGTTCTAGCTTCTCCATAGTTCTACAATTCTAGATACTTCCAATTCTTTCAAAATGGAAGGAGATCAAAAGCAGATGGAGATTAATATTTGAGTGGACAGATTCCGCTTCTCGTTTGAATTACTAGATGGCCTCACGGGACAGCAGGACCTTTTGAGTGTGGTTACATTGAGCTACAGTTTAGTGATGTTTTAGCCACGTGGAGTCTGTCTTCCTACAGTTGCTTCTCTGTTTCAGATTCTTTATTGGCAATAGTATTTCGGTGGCAGTTTGGACTATCTGCATCTCTTTATCTCCTCTCCAGATCATCCTTGCCATTCTGGTGGTCTGGCTGCTGTGTTACATTCTGACAGTGACCAACGTATTTCCTCGTGATCCAAATGCCTACGGATATAAGGCCAGGACGGACTCTAGAGGAGAAATCGTGTCGATCGCTCCATGGTTCCGCTTTCCCTATCCTTGTAAATATGATTCCTTTGCACTTGCTGTATATTGGCATTCTTTATGCTCCGTGATCTTGCGTTTGAAGAATTTCACACAGAATCTGATAGCAATAGGATCTCTTGAAATGTTATGTCAATAGTGCATGGACTCTAATCTGGGAGAACTGGGTTTGATTCCCCACTCCTCCACTTGTAGCTGCTGGATGACCTTGGGCAAGCCAAAGTTCTGTCAGAGCTGTTCTCTCAAGGACAATTCTGGAAAGAGCTCTCTCAGCTCCACCTACCTCAAAGGGTGTCTGTTGTGGGGAGGGGAAGGGAAAAGAGTTTATAAGCCACTCTGAGACGCCAAGTGAAGTGCGGGGTATAAATCCAATCTCCTCCTCCTCCTCATAAGTGTGAAGAGGTGGTTGAAAATTTTCAGACTCTATTAATTGTTTCAATATTGTGTGGAGTGATGCTTCTGTGGCCGACATGACCAATTGTTTCTCACTTTGGTCATGTTCTCCTTCACTTGCCCATAATTCCTCTCCTACCATTTTGGCTACCCTTAAACTTCCATTGCCATTGGATTTTCAGAAAGGAGCATGTAAAACAATGTAATATCCAACTGTACCTGGCATAGCTTCTTGCCTGATGCTGTCTAGGCCCACTTCTTTCTGTGACTTTTTTAATCTTGTCAATGCAGAGTTTTCACATTCTCTGTTCAGGACTGGGTTTTGCATGTACCCATGAGATGTACATGATGTCCTTGTATTTACATGAGAATAAATAGGATCTTCCATGTACAGAATGGTAGGTTACATGCCTCTCTCTCTTTCAATACTGCCTTATAAATTATATCATGGTCTTTTTGTGATCTTTTACCAAACCCACACTGGAACAGAAAGATACGGTTCAAAACCACATTCAAATACCCCGGGCCAACACCATACTGACTGCAAAGTCATGGGCGAATGGCCATAAAATGGCCATAAATCTATGCAGACTGTAACCATAAAACCGAGAGATCAAACAAAGTGAAAGAGGCATGCAGTCTGGACACTGCCATAAAATCCGATAATCAAAGAAAGTGAAAGTGGCATGCAATGTAGAGGGGAGTTTCTGTTCCAACATGGATTTGGTAAAACAGTGGAGCGAATGCTAGATGTAGAATGGGCCATTGACTCTTCAGGCAGAAAATAGATGGAAATTGGATTTCTCCACCACTAGGGATTACCTACTTCCTTCAGTTCAGAGACTTTCATATATGGTTGTCAGCTCTGCCTTGGGAAATACCTGGAGTTTTGGGGGGTGGAATCCGGGGAGGGCAGGGTGTGGCGCCTCTTATTTGAGAGGACTGGTTTTCACTTTATATGTGTTCTTTGCTTTTGCAAACTGGGTATTTTCTGCTGCCACTAGGAATTTAAGGAATTCCAAACCTTTTCTCCTTTGCTGCTGGTAAGGTGACCCAGAGTCTGGGCTTTTCAGGGATCTATGTAGTCCTGAGGATAGAGCTGAATTCTGGGATAAACTTGAACAAAAGATGATTTATTGAAATAAGAACAAAATATGAGGTTGGTTATTCTGTAACTGTTTGGGAATAAGGGACTTGTAAATATGTCTGTCAAATGTATCACACACACTGTCCTTTTGACATTAAGATCCCACTCTGACAGGAATCTCTCACATAGGCAGCCACACAGGCTAAGCTCTTGGTAATTTTAACTTCCTTCCAGATCTTTAATGGCTCACTGTTGAAGACATATATACTGCACTCTTTAAGATCCCACACAGAACTATCAGAACACTCACTGACTGAACTCACTAACTGAACAATTCCAACTGATTTATCTAACTGACTTTTCTATAACTGACACCTACACAGATCCACACAGAACAACTCCTCCCACACTCTGTCATACTCCAATCACAGCACACTTCTCTCTCTCAATCATTGTACTCTGCATTCACTGCACTGCAACCAAACATTTAAAGAGACACACACACTCTAAAATAAGGAATCATTACACAGGGTTTCAGGAGGGGAGGGACCTCAGCAGGATACAGTGCCACAGAGTCCATCCGCCAGAGCAGCCATTTTCTTCAGGGGAATGAATCTTGATTGTCCGGAGATCAGTTGTAATAGTGGGAGATCTCCAGGTGCCACCTGGAGGGTTGTCAGACCTACTCCCATCGCTTTCCACTGACTTCATTCCAAAAACTAACAGCTTTTAGAATTCAAAACTTAAACTTAACATAGAGAATGAAAGGTATGGCTTAAGAATAAGACATCGGACTTCCGGTTGGCGGATTGGCAATGGCGGTCGCTCTCCCCAACTTGCGAGGAGGCGACTAGCATGCCAGCGGCAAGGAGGGGTGCAGCCTCAAGCGGCACCCCCAACGGAGCCCTTGTGATGGGTTCCAGGCCAGAGGGCTATTGAGGGTTAGCCTCTTCGACGGCTTGATGCCGGAGAATAGAGGCTTTCCTCCGCCCTGACGGTCCTACCGCTGAGTGACCATATGGTACAAGCTAGTTCGACCAGGACAAGCACAAGAGATTGAGCGCAACAATGAATGAGAGAGCAGGGTCTGTGAAAGGACCAACAATGAACGTGAGTTCGATGTAAATGAATTATTTTGACAAAACGGAGTACCCCCCCCGTGGAAAAAGCAGAGCGCAAGGAGGGACGCCTCTTGAGCGCAGAGACAGATCAATGCAGCGAAGGGGGTAGGGGGGAAACAAATAGCGAGACTATATTGAGAGACTTACTTGAGTACCGATAGCGAAAAGACGAGTCTTTCGAGCCCTGGCAAAGCGGTTTGAAATTGTAAACAAAGAGGGAACATGGCGGCTTCACGAGGAAAGTTTAAATCGAAACCAGGCAGCCAGAGTCTGAGACTGGAAGAGGATGCAGACATCATGAAGTTACTAGCGGATATGCTGAAGCCGGTAATGGAGCAACTCGGTGGTATTAACCAGCAACTAGCTACATTGAATCAAAACTTTGCTCAACAGCAGCGCCAGTTGGCAGAAACAGAGAAGAAAGTGGAGCAAGGTACTGAAAAGTTACAGATATGGACGCCGCAAATAAGAAAGTGAAGAAAAGAGTGACAGATGTGAAAACAACACAAAAACTTCAGGAAACTCGTTTGTTACAGCTTCAAATGGAAAAAGCTAATATGACTCTTAGATTTCAGGGATTGCCTGAAACTGAAAAAGAAGATTTGAAGAAGACTCTGGGTGAGATTATCGCTCCAGTAACAGGCTTATCAGCGGACGAAATAATAAAAGACATCGAAGCTGCCTACAGGCAGTGTTCCCTCTAAACTGAGTTAGTGTGAGCCAGCTCACAGTTTTTGAGCCTCTGGCTCACACATTTTTGTCTTGGCTCAGGAAGGACGGCTCCAGAGCAAACTAGTTTATCCAGCAGCCAAATCTCTTGCTCACAACTTTAATGCCAGTAGCTCACAAAGTAGAATTTTTGTTCACAAGACCCCACAGCTTAGAGGGAACATTGCCTAGAGGGCATACTCCAATTATATAAAAAAACCCAGCCTGCCTGGAGAGATTGTGGTTAGATTTGCGAGAAGACAGACCAGAGATGCAATATTAAAGGCAACTTCGGCAAATCCACTGAAATCTGGGAATATAACCATCAGAACTTTAAAAGACATTCCATTTGAAATACGTCAAAAGAGAAAAAGCTACAAGGAGCTCATCTCATTTCTTCAAACCAATGGAATTCAATATCGGTGGGCGATCCCTGAAGGTGTCGTTTTTAAAATCAATGATAAAAGAGAGAAGATTGACTCCCTTTTTAAAGCTAAAGAGTTTTTGAGACGTCAGCTGGGATCAGAGGAAGACCTGAAAGATGAAGAAACAAAATCAAGTGACTCTGCTACTTCTGGAATGGATGAGGGCTCTGTTGGTGAAGTGGGAGAGGGAGCAGTGAAAACTGTATATGACTTTAGAGACAGAAAATCGAAGTAAGGGCAGAAAGACTCTGTAAATCGCCCTTTGAAGCAAAGAAGATGCTCAAGAAGTTCTCTCATAAAAATTAATTTACTAACATAGAAATGAAACAAGAACTCTACGAGTATATTGTGTGACTAACACTTTTATTACTAACATATAGCTTAACACGGAAATGATCTCCTTCTCTTGGGTTTTTAGTTAGTGTGGGTATCTTTTCTTTATCCCTAGTTGTCGTCCTCCCCTATATTTTTCGTTGTAGTTCAGTAGTCTCATGAAAAATAATAAAATTCCCTCTCAGGGGTTTCAAAAAAGAAAGAAAGAATAAGACATCGAAGGAACAGTGAGTGACGTTGGCCCATTCTGCATCTAGCATTCCGTTGTTTTACCAAACCCACACTGGAACAGAAAAAGATGCAGCTCAAAACCATATTCAAATACCCTGGGCCAACACCATACTGACTGCAGAGTCACTCTTTTTTTTAACTGTTTATTTATAATTTTCAGTATACATCATGTCATCGGTTTACATTTCTTATTCTTGTGAGTCATATTTATTTGCCTTTTCTAGCCATACAGAAAACATTTTCCATCTTTTTTCAAATATTTCCTTGCTATTACCTTGTATTGTTAAGCTTAATTTATCCATTTCCGCTACTGACAAAATTTTAACTATTACATCTTTCCTTGAGGGTATGTCCTCTTTTTCCCATGTTTTGGCTAACAATATTCTAGCTGCTGTAAAAAAGTATATAATTACATATTTATTTGTTTTACTATATGTTTCTGGAAGCATATTCAATAAAGCTATTTCTGGTGAAAATGGTATTTGCATTTCTGTAATTTCATTTATCATTTGATATATTTTTTCCCAATATCTTTGTACTTTCTCACACCTCCACCACATGTGCATTTATGTGCTGACATTCTTTTTACATTTCCAACCATTCTTATTGTTTGTATAACATTTTGCTAATTTCTCTGGTGTCCAATGCCACCTGTAGAACATCTTATATATATTCTCCTTATATGGAATTGCTCGCATAAATTTTATTGATTTCCACGTTTTTGTCCATTGCTCTGCCTCTAATGTGTGTTGTATATCTTTTGACCATGTAACCATTGTTCCTTTAACCATTTCACCTGCCAAATCTTGTCTAATTCGTTGTTTTCTTTATAGAAACCCGTTTTTTTGTCTATGTTATATCTCGAGGTTAATTGCATTTTATCCCACCAAGTACGTTTCACCTTTTGTTTAGCTAACTGCTCATCATTTTTTAAATTATTATTTGCATCTAACAGATCTTCATAGGCCACTTTCCTACTTTTCTCCATCAATGTCGATATCGTTACTGCTTCTATTGGTGCCACCCATTTCGGGATTTTTAAGTAGTATCTCATCTTTATTTCTTTCCATACTTCTGTTAAAGCTCCCCTTATTGTATGATGTGTAAAATTCTTTGATAGTCTGCCTTCTTCATACCATACGTATTTATGCCACCCCATTACCAAATCATGTCCTTCAAGCATTAGTAATCTAGTATCCTGTAACGTTATCCAGTCTTTTATCCATAATAATGCTGCTGCTTTATAATATGAATTCCAGTTTGGTATTCCAACCCCCCATTTCCTTTTGTCTCGCATATATTTACGATTAATTCTTGGTTTTTTATTATTCCATATGAATTTACTACATGTTCTTTCCAATTCTTTAAAATACCTTGTTTTCCTTAGAATTGGTATATTTTGCGCCAAAAATATAAATCTAGGTAGAATATTTATTTTTATAGCCGCAATTCTACCCATCATTGAGATCTTTAGGTCTTTCCATCTTTCTAAATCTTTTTTAGTTTCATTAAGTAATTTATTGTAGTTATCCTCTGTTAGAGTAATGTTTCGGCTTGATATTATAATTCCTAAATATTTAACCTTTTAAACTATTTCCATCTTAGAAAGAGCTTGAATTTTATCTTTTTGTAGTTTTGTACAGTTTTTTGTTAATATATTAGTTTTCTTGAAATTAATTTTCAGTCCTGCCACTTGTCCGTACTCTTGTATTGTCTGGATTAGATTCGTTATTGATTCTATTGGATGACTACAGAGTCACTCTTGAATGGCCATAAAATGGCCATAAATCTATGGCCCATTCTGCATCTAGCATTCGCTCTGCTGTTTTATCAAATCCACGTTGGGGGAAAAATTCCCCTTTACATTGCACGCCACTTTCACTTTCTTTGATTGTCAGGTTTTATGGTAGCCTCCACACTGCAAGCCGGTTTTACTTCCTTTGATCTCTCGGTTTGATGGTACCGTCTGCATAGATTTATGGCCGTTCGGGGATGACTCTGCAGTCAGTATGGTCTTGGCCCGGGGTATTTTGTTTGCCAGTTTGGTGTAGTGGTTAAGTGTGCGGACTCTAATCTGGGAGAACCGGGTTTGATTCCCCACTCCTCCACTTGCACCTGCTGATGTGATCTTGGGTCAGTCACAAGTTCTGGCACAGCTGTTCCTGAAAGAGCAGTTTGTGTCAGAGTTCTCTCAGCCCCACCCACCTCACAGGGTGTCTGTTGTGGGGAGGGGAAGGGAAAGGAGTTTGTAAGCCGCTCTGAGACTCCAAGTGAAGGGCGGGGTATAAATCCAATCTCTTCTTCTTCTTCTATTTGAATGTGGTTTTGAGCCGCATCTTTCTCTGTTCCAGTGTGGGCTTGGTAAAACAATGGAGCGAATGCTAGATGCAGAATGGGCCTATGCAGACAGTACCATAAAACCATTGAGAAGACAGAGGAAAAGCCAAGGCTGGCTCTTTGCTTTGAGGAAGAGGTCACACCGCAAGTGATAGATATCATGCTAGTGTGACACTCCGATTTCCTATGGCATTCCCCCCATCCCACACAGTTGAGCTGCAGCAGGCAGAGTGGGTGGAAGGCAGGAAGTTGGCCTAGAACAACACCCACAAACGACATCAATTCTCCCCAAACGCTGCCCTTCATAGGCACCCCCTCCCCGAAATCTCCTGGTATTTGGTGAGGCAATATTGGAAATCCTTACTACACTTGGGATCACTGCCCTAAGAATTAGTACTCACTGAGGAACGTTTGTAGAGCCATAGAGCTGGAAGGGGCCATGCAGGCCATCTAGTCCAACCCCCTGCTCCATGCAGGGTCAGCCTAAAGAATCCCTGACAAGTGTTTGTCCAGCCACAGCTTGAAGACTGCCAGTGAGGGGGAGGTCACCACCTCCCTAGGCAGCCAGTTCCTCTGCTGAACTACTCTTGCTGTAATAATAATAATAATAATAATAATGCTTTCGATTTATTAATCACTTTCCCCACAAGTGGGCTCAAAGTGATTTACAGTTACACTTTTAGACAGGGGACTAACAATGTTTCATAGGGGATAGGAAAGACAACATATAATTCATTTTAATTGCACACGCTGTAACTGCACGGTGGAAACGTCTCTGGCTTGGATCAGTCATGTCCCGAACGGCTGCATCGACCGGCTTGATGACGATGGGGCTTCCGGACCCGTATGTCGTATTGCCACACTGCCACTGCCTGGCTGGAGCATCCCACTGCAGAGATTTTTTTGTAGCCGAGTAGTTTCTTTCGCCTTCCGATCCTGGAGCAGGCCGTCCCAACCGACAGCTAACACCTTCCCCCAGGTGTTATCCAACTGGCATCTTCCTGCCTATAATTTAAATGCATTACTGTGAGTCCTATCCTATGCTAAGCAATAGTAGCATTCTTTTGTCATGGACCCTTAATTCTGTTGGAATATACAAGATCTATAGTGCACCTACTTGAAGAAGATCAGAAGAACAGCCTATAGGGGACAGCTGAAGAACTGCTAGTTAGCATAACAAGATTAGGGACTTCCCACAATTTCAAATTATGTCCTTCCTGTCTCCTGATTGGATCTTTGGGGACTTCCTGCTCCAGCTGAGCCCTCCCCCTTCATTCCTGTCTCTCACAGCAGTTAGTTAAGTCTCTCTCCCTCTCCTCTGTTCTATCAGAGTTTATTTCTTCTTTAATAAACCGAGTTATTTTCTTTAAAGTTTTAAACAGTTGGTGCTCCGTTCCTCTGCATGTTTAAACTCCGCCAACGAATTCTGCAAGGTGTGTCCCTGTAGGCCCAGCCCATTTGAAGTGATCAGATTCCTGTGTGTTTTTCTCTGGCACACACCTACTTTGCCTTTCCTCATTCTAGGCCAGTGGGGGATCCCTACAGTGACAGCTGCTGCGGTCCTGGGAATGTTCAGTGCTACCTTGGCTGGGATCATTGAATCGATTGGTGATTACTATGCCTGCGCTCGGCTTGCCGGAGCCCCGCCTCCACCTGTGCATGCCATTAACCGGTAGGTAGGAGACATGCAGCACCTCTGTTCCTTTGCACTGCTTTGATATTTGAAAAACGTAGGACAATGATTTTCTCAACGTGAAATCCCGCCTCCCAGTCATGTGACTCACAAGGCGGCCAGCTGATAAACTAGAGGAAGAAGCAGCCCCTACATTCTTTGTCATGCCAAATGTTTCCTGGCAGATCATAACTGAGGAGGAGACTCAGGAGATGAGATGGTATTGCCAACCTCCAGGTGGGTACATACCAAAAAACAAAGAAACACTGTGATAAAAATGACATTTAATAATTCATGTCTATATGTATATCTATTCAAACTTGACAGTATTGCTTAGGAAATTCTGACATATTCAAGGAAAAGTCCAACATCATGATATTCTCTATTTTTATCTGGCTAGAAGCCTTCTTGTATTCAAATTGGCTGTTTTTGAGAGTTTGAGTTCCAGCATGAGAGGTGGAGAGCATTATCAGTTTGTTATTTAAAAAAAGGCTTCTTAGCCAGACAGAAAAGATGACTGAGACGCGGCTTCTGGTCTGGCTCCCGCGAATGGCGGACGCATCCTCGGGTCGCTCCCGAGGTCGTCTCGCCCACCCGCGGTGGAGGAGGGAATCCGCGCGAGCGGAGACCCGAACGAGCCCCTCAGGAATGGAGGAGCTCGGATCCGGGGCGCTTTAGGGCGCACTAGGGGGGAATCTCTTTCTCGGCTGAACGGTCGGGAATTGAGGCTCTCGCCATGCCCTGCCCCAATGGACCTTGCTGCGTGAGCGACCCCGTACGGGGTTTAGCGGAGCCACCAGACGTCACCGAGTGATAAAGCGAACAACCGATAAAAGTAAAAAAGAAAAGATCGGCTAAACTGTGAGTTGTCAAAATGCGGAGAAAAAGAATTAAGAGCGCTCCCCCCCCATCAGCGGAAAAGACGAGGA